CCCATCCAACAGCTGTGATGAGTCTCACCAGTTCATCCCTGGTTCATGTCCTGATGGATTGTACCTGGTTGCTTGCCGGTTTTACCCCTGATCAGAGGAAGTGTGCATCTTACCCTCTGATCAAAGGACAATCAACCATCTTTCAATTTTACAAGTTCTTCGATTGTCCATTTCATCGCTTTTTGTCAATCCCCTTCTTGCCAAAACGATCTCAGTCAAAAATGGTCCTTCCCGCCGACGTACCAGAATGTTAGCACATTTTCAAAGCTTGTTCAAAGACACCTCCAAGCTTATTCAGGTCCTCTTCCTCTCGCGTCCAGGCTTTGTCGAGGTGCTCACCGGTCCACTTGATTCGATTCTTTATTCTTGTCTTGCTTGTCCTACAAGCAGGACAATGCAAATGGCGTCCATTCGAAGGCATTGTGAACTTCAAAATCACATCAACAACTTTGGAAGATGGACAGCCGACCGTGCTCGCAAACATCGGAAACCTCGTGCTCGTAAACGACATAAAACTCTTTCACCACCTCCTCAACACAATGTGACACCAGAACCTGTGACACCTGCTCCCATCATAGCCAGTCCCAACGAAGAATCAGACTTAGATGATTTTGAAGAGCGCCAAAAGATCCTTGTCGATCTGTGGAATAAAGATCACTCTGAGATCTTCAATTTACCATCAGACCTATCAAACAGCAGCGACGATCCACCCATTGAGGATGATTCTGAAACAAACGACGAGGAATTGCCCTCAGATATGTCAGATGGCGATGGAGAAAGGTTCACACAGGAGGACAGCGAGTCCTGGGCTCCCTTTTCAAGCTTGGAGGTTTGCTTTGTTGTTCCTTTTTCTTTGTTCCTTTTTTGGTTTCATTAACATAATCCATCTTATTTGTGCTCGATCAGCAACTTGTTGGCTTGCTGATTCTTGGCTCTACACGAACAACCATGTCTCAACTTCAATACGAACGAGTTCGATCCTTTGTTGGACTCTTAGGTGTGAAGCTTCCGGGATACAAGGCTCTTCAGAACTTGCGTCGGAAACTCAAGCAACGCTACAGCTACGATGTCTGTGAGGCTGTGAGCCCTCTGGACAAGCCTTGCTTTGGCCTGAAAGTCAAACAGATCTTGAGTCAAGTAAGCAAGTTTTGATTTCAAAGATCATAGCATACATCACATTATCAACACATCTCACCTTCCTTATTCGAATAGGAACTCGCCAACCCTTATGTTTCGGAAAATCTCCAGTTTATGCCTGAGCTACCGGACAAACGAAGTAAAGTCAATTGTTTGGCACAGTCTAAGAGGTGGCGAGAGACGGATGGCGACTTACGGGTTCAGATGGTTGAATCAAACAACATTCACTTTTACCTGTTTGAACCGGTCCAGCTACAATCCCAAAAGATTGTTGTACCACTGTTTTTTTATCAAGCTGGCACAGAGATCTTCGCAAAGTGTACCCCTGCAAGTCACACTTATCAACGGGTTCCAAATCAACCCAGAATTCGCGTGGAGTACGAGTCTGCTTCTTCCTTCAACTCCTTGAGTTTGACTTCTATCAATGTCAAGGAGTTTGGTAGACCTTTCCAAACGATCAAGATACGTGCGGACGTCTTGCTTAAGGATCACTGTGGGAATATCATGTATGGTAAGTGTTCAATCAAGCACATGTTCATTATACTTTTATTCCAGCTGAGCAGCATCTGATTTTTTCCAGAGCATCTTGGCAGCGGACGGTTCAACAAGAGTCCTCTTACAAATCCATGGCGTACAAAGGCTAAAGGTAGGCTCATTCGAAATGTACCGCTGGTTCTGTATTGCGACGACCTCTCTGGGAATATCTCAAAGCGTTGGAACAAGCACATCGCTTTTTATTTCACTCTAGCTGGATTACCTCCAAAGTTTGCAAATCAAGAATACAACTGTCACTTCTTAACGACTTCGAACAGAGCAGGTGCTTTGGAGCTTGCTGAGCCTTTGGTCGATCAACTCAAGTGATTTTTTAATTTCCGCTTCCTTGAACAAAAATCTGACTGTGCTTTATGTTTGATATTGTCAGTGAATTGAGTACAGATGGCTTCATGGCCTACAATCATCGGACAAACTCAGAAGTTCTAGTCATGACCTCAGTGCTATGCCATCTAGGTGACTCTCCAATGCACGCCGAGGTCAGCAATACAATGAACCCCACAGTGTCACTCACTCCATGTCGGATTTGTCATCTGAAAGTCGATAGCATGTTGGAAAAAAGATCAAAACAATATATTAACAATTTTATTGGAGTTGATGAAAATGAAAACAAAGTAAGAATCTTAATTTGTAGACGTTGAGAAGAGATATTTGGAAGATATAACTTGATCATTCCATCTTTTTCAGATGTCTCTACCTCCGCGAATCTGGTCAGAAACCAAACGTCTTACCAAAGAGCTCTGGGAATTGGCGCAACTCCCAGGAACAATTGGGTCATTTGACACTCGATCGGCCGAAGTAGGTGTGAAAGACACTCTCAGCACGCCATTTGTCAAGAAGGTCCAAGATTTCCATCGAAATCCGTTACTTTCAAAAGACGATGTTGCCCAGCTGTGCCGTGAGATCAATGATCAGTTTGGACAACGCCTTTACAATCCTTTTCTGCGGTTAAAAGGTGAGTGAAGGCGATCATCTTTGATTTTCTACTCAACTTCACTTTTTTAAAAATGGCACTGACTTTGTTGTGTTGGTATGGAGCAGGTTTCGACGGCCATCAAGACACTCCTGTCGAAGTTCTTCATGTTATGCTATTGGGAATAGCAAAATATCTCCTCAGACACCGAATGCAAAGCTCGTCGGCAATTGAAAAAGAAGGAATATGGGGTCGGTGGAGATCATTCAAGATGACAGGCTTGAAGATTCCAGAGATTCAACCTAAAACAATGATCAATCACTTTCTCAGCTTAACTGGAAAGGATTTTCGTACGGTTCTTCAATCAGCACCATTCATTTTCTTTGAATGTGCCATACCGGATCAGGAACGGGCCGCTTGGAAGGCTCTGTCTTACCTTTCTCCTTACCTATTTCAGACCGAAATCACTGACATGGACCAGTACATAATTCAAGTTAGCCTTCACGTGCAAAGATTCCTTTGAGCAATTGTACGACTTTCAGCCCAATGGTTCAATAAACCAAAATTTCATATGCTCACCCACCTCTGCAACGCAATTGAAAGATTTGGACCGGCATGTCTCTTTGCCACCAAAAGCTTTGAAAGTTACAATGGCAACACGCGAAACTCTTTGATTCATTCAAATCACTTGAGCCCCGGTAAAGATATTGCGAATTCAATGAATAACCACCGGCTTATAAGATCTATTTCAGCTTCTTCGCTCAACTATGATGCCAAGCAGAAGACATACATACGAGCAAGCTCAAATGTATCCGATATATTCAAAAACAATCGCTTGTTCCAGAAGGCATTGGGCTACAATTCCCAATGGAATAAACCAGGCGAGGCACGGAGAGGAAGTGAGTCAAATTGGTTTATCATTTCTCAAAACCCTCTGACATTTTTTGTTTCTATGTTAGAAATCTGTAATACACAGCCACCCAGACCCGAAAGCCACATTCCAAAATCAATTAGGGACGCTTACACTTCCAAGTCGTGGAAGTCACTAGAAAGTTTCACTTTCCAAGATGAACAAACTGTGAAGGATGGCAACTTTTTATCGGTATGTTGTACTGTACTGAACTTTGTATCATCAATTACTGATTGATTGTTATTTTTTCCAGGTAACTCTTCGCACCGAAAAATTCATAGGCAGGATCAGAAAAGTGTGGGGTTTGAGTGGTTCAGGTCCTCAACAGTGCAGATTTGAATTATCCAAGTGTAAATTAGCCAACGCGAGTGTGTTCTATGGCATGCGCGAAATCGAAGAAACCACTCAGTGTGTGTGGGTCAGCCCTGCAGTGAGTCACCTTCTTTTTCCATCGCATTAGGCAGCGTGGTTTTTTTACTGACATTGTTTTCTCAAAGGACATTGAGGGTGTCCTTAACATCCAACACAACTGCCACAAAAGTGGATGTACAGTCGAAAAAACACATCAAGTATTGATTGAGAGACATATCTCAAACAGCCGAGAACCTATGGTGGTTCATAAAGACACAAGGTTCTTTGTACTCAACTCTGCTTCATTTTATTTGGCAGAGTTGCATCGTGAATGGGCTCATCTCACTTTCCTGCCAGTCCGTCCGGCTGATTGGAAACTAGCAGTTGCGGAAGGAATTCAGCACTGGGAAGCGTCTTTGAAAGAAAAACAAGCCAAGAAGGATAAACAGTCTCAGAACCTTAAGAAGCGATTCTTGGCACAACAAAAAGAACGTCCATCAAGCAAAAAGAGAAAAGGCAAAGGCCGTGCAGCAGATCAAACTCTTTCAACACAAGATCGATTGCTGGATGAGGGGTCATCGGACTCTGAATAAATCAATGTATCAACGAATAATAGCAATTTATTATTCATCCACACGTTTCTTTCTCCAATGATCAATTCTCTGTTTAAATTTCATTTCTGCCTCTGTGAAACATTGTACATTTAAATTTGAATTCATACTTTGATGTTTAAGTTAGAGATTATATACAAGATGATTGAGAGGTTAAAATTACTCAATCGGAGATGCGGAGCTTCCCATTCCTAAATGAAGCTTTGCATTTCGCGAAATGCGGAGCTTTCCAATACTTACAAATGAAGCTTTGCATTTTGCAAAATGCGAAGCTTTCCAATACTTACAAATGAAGCTTTGCATCAACTTCCTTTGCCTTTGCTGCTTTGAATCATTCTGAGTATCGACTCTCAAGACCAAGAAATCTGAGTTCAAAGTTGATAATCTGTCACAGGCCTCAGACAACCTGTCACAAAACTTTCACAGGTCCGATTGAAGACTGAAACATTTACCACTTGGAACTCCACATCTCAACCGTCTTCTTCACTCTTCATCGATCTTCCAACCCTTTACGCCCAACCCAACAATGTCACAACAAGCACGTTTTCAGCCTTATTCAAGGCCTTCAACTCAATCACAAATCTCAATCAAAGGTGCAGCTGCCCAGCGACGCAGTTTACGCGAACGTTCTGCCCCAGCTCCAAAATTGAAAACTCCTGCTCTTCCAGCTCAAGCTTCGAAGTCAAAAGCATACCTTCCGGCTCTTCCAGCTCAAGCTTCGAAGTCAAAATCAAAAACTCCTGCTCTTCCAGCTCAAGCTTCAAAGTCGAAAGCAAAAACTCCTGCTCTTCCAGCTCAAGCTTCGAAGTCAAAAGCATACCTTCCGGCTCTTCCAGCTCAAGCTTCGAAGTCAAAATCAAAAACTCCTGCTCTTCCAGCTCAAGCTTCAAAGTCGAAAGCAAAAACTCCTGCTCTTCCAGCTCAAGCTTCGAAGTCAAAAGCATACCTTCTGGCTCTTCCAACTCCAAAACCAAAATCCACCAAATCAATTCTTCCGACTCGCATAGATAGTTCTTTACCTTCCAGCAAGACTGAACTATTCAGACAAGATGACTTGAATTTGTTCAATCACTCTGACCACAATTTTGGTACGTTTCACATTATCTGATTGCTTCATTTTCTTCTTTTTTGTTTCATATACTCAGCCAGTTGTTTCAACAATGACCTATCAAAGAAGAACAAGGTAATAACAACAGTGGTGGAATTGTTGAAGGTGAGTCATTCCATCCGTCTTATGTTACCTTCACCATCCTGATCCCAATTTTTGAAAATAGACGAAGGTAATAACGGTGGCGGGGATTCTGAAAGTCCAATTATCTAGGACTGGGCGGGGCTCTCATTGGGTCAGGAAGATGGGTTTAAGTCCCATCTTCTCGGTACGTAGGTACCGGTGGTTACGCAAAGAAGATAGTTGTAAATGAGAGAAACTCATCTCCAAGTATCTTTGTAACCACTCATGAATAGAAAGAAAGAATACTACAAGAGTACTAATGCAGACTACTACAGGTGGTGTGGGGGTGGCCTATTGAGGGTAGAAGAGGAGGAGGACGGGTGATTCTCCCTCAACTACTGGTCTCAATAGGCAAGAACAAGGAAATACATAGAGATGGGCTTCTCTCCCCAAAAACTCGCGGGGGGGAGAGCCGTGAGCCTAGGGAAGCCCCATCACTCGAGTCTCCGCGACGATGTCGCAAGACAACAGAATTTCCAAGTTAAAACCCAAATAAACCCAATCATTTCAATTTTTTTTTTTTTTGACCTGATTTTATTTAGTAGAGACTAGCACGACTGGGCGGCGGGCGCCGCATCACTGGCTCAGATTGGCCAAATGTGTAGATGATAGTGTCTGACAAAGTGCCAATACATTTTGGATGATCAATTGGCTTCCAAAATTATACAACCACATTATCATACATAATTGATTTCTCGCATGTTGGATTTACCATCTGCATAGACTGACTAAGTGCAAGTCATAAAATGGTCTATCACTCCACACCTGAGCCATAACACCCACACTACATATGTGTAGCAGGCTCAGTGAATATGTGGTTATCATGTACATACAGTTCTGCTCAGTTATCTGCTCATCAGGACAAGTTATTCATATGTAATACATGCTGTAACTTCTTTCAGATTGAAAAAAGCTTCCAAAAGATTGACTACATACACTGACTCAATGTTTTGGTGTGATCTCATCAACTCAACTGCATGTAACACACTTTCTGTTACTAAGACATAGCTTCAACAATATTGCCTGAGCAGCTACAGAATTATATGTAGTGAATTTTTGGGAAAAAAATTTCAAAGTCGAAAAAGTTACATGTGGTATAACATGTGATTTATTTATTCTGATGGGCAAAAAACTGAGCAGACCTGTATGTACATGATAGACAACTATTGACTTAGCTTGCTGCACATATGTAGTGTGTGTGAAATGGCCCAGGTGTGCAGTATTAGATTCTTTTATGAAAAACTGTACTATTAATCATTTTCCTCTGCCAAATTGGGGAAGTTGAATGATGTTTACAGTGTACATAATTGATTTCTCGCATGTTGGATTTACCATCTGCATAGACTGACTAAGTGCAAGTGAACACTGTACATGTTTGCCAAACAACTTATGAAAACAGCACAATGAAATTGTATTCTCATGAAGACACATCATAATGTGAACATAACAATTGGGATCAATGATCTCACCTTTACAATCAACAATAACCAAGGAGAGTCTGTTTTTTTGTTGTAACTAAACCAGAATACATTGAAGATTTTTACCCACTACTTTTTTTGTTTGATGCTTTTATCATCTTCTTCCTTTTCTTTAACTCGACAACACCAAAAGGAAACCCAACATTGGAATTAGACTTCAAAAATTTAATAAACTCTTACAAACTTTACAAAAAGAACCCACTAATCAGACATAGACTAAGAAACCAATCAGAATTCTTTTTGGAATATCTCCAATAACACTCAGGTCATCTTCTTGAAACAGCACAAAATTCATCATGAGTGGACCCATTCCCATCAATCCCCAACTCTTTCCTCATAATTTGATAATATTCCACTTCTTTGCACTTTGATTATGAAATGTCTTCTTTTGTGAATTGAGGTACTTATGACTTCAAGTCTTGAATCTTTTGATTTATTTCACAAACTAAATCAAGAGATGAAATTAATTTTTGATAAGTTACTTTAAAAAAGGTTTTATTTGCAATGAAAGAACTCCGATTCCATCTTTCTAAACAGATTTCAAAGTTCTTAAGAAATGCTTCAAAAATTCATTCACAACTTCTATATAAACGAATCTCTTCAATTATTTTATTTGTTATCCTTGAAATTTCAAACAATGATCTGTTTTCTGAATTTAATTTCATCAAAAAATTCAACATGAAACTCAACCAAAAAGATAATTGCAATTTACGTCAAAAGGATTTGATTCTGATAAATGTGAAGAAAAAAGTACTCACACAATCATCATTCCATTAGATAAAGACTTCAATCCACAACTGACAAAAACCTTCACAAATGTCAAAACTCCAACTTGGCTGATCCATGTATTTCTTTGACAATCTTAACCAAGGAACGACTTAAGGTATAGTTCCATGAATGAGTTTTGACTTATGAGGTATAAACCCATAACCTAAGTCAGAGTTTCACACTGTGGGAGTTTGAGATTTTATACAACCAAATTCTCAACTCACACCACTCATAACACACTCAAAACTAATTGTCAAATCCATTCTCAAGGTTGGAAATAGATTTCATGTTCCACCCACCAACCCAGCTGGGCGAGGTATTGGTGTTGACCCCAGTGAGAATTATACCGTGACGCAAAGATCAGCCAACCCCCCGCCCGGGCTCCCCCAAAACAGCGTTAACCTCAGCCGTTATTATAGGCCAAGGTTGACTTCATATTATAACTTGATAACAAACAAATTATAATACTCATAAGTGTATAAATAACAAAGAATACATTATCTTATATACACTTAACCAAGCTCTTACCGTAAAGTAAGAAACTCATAGAATGGATTGATGACTTCCAGCTTGGATGGATACTGAAGATCAAAATGATCAAATTGAACCATATTGTGATTCCAATGCATATGAAACATTCAAAAACTTTAAATGCCAAGCTTGAAATAACTTGAATTGTGATTCAAATAAAGCTCTTCTTTGATACATTGCTTTTGGCAATCTTTGTATTTATGATTTTGTTTCTTCAATATCTTCTTGAATATCTAATGAAGGAATCATACTTATTGACCTTTTCTAGAAGCCTTGGATGTTCTGATTTGCTTTTGCATGTTTTTGTGGGATTCATAATTTCTACTGCAGTCTCTTGAAGAACGGACTAATATAAGGATCAAAAATTAGTTAATTTATTTGAAAAAGATCAAGGAAAAAGGAAAAGGTTGGTCCAAAAGACTTCAACTTAAACCAAGTTTCATTCCCTAAAACACTTTAACAATGCAAACCAAGTTTTCATTTTTGAAAGGATCAGACAATAATTAAAGAATAGGCTGAAATCTTTTTTCTTTGATAGATACATACATTGAAGGCAATAGATTTATAAATCATATGTGGTAAGATCAGTTCAATCTCTAATCCTTGTGGTATACTTTGGTTTATTTCATTTTTTTCAATGAGAAAATTTGAGAGTTGAGCTTAAGAGAAAAAACCAAACACCTTTCCCTTAGTTTGATTTCATATAGTCCAATATCTCTCCTGAATGAAACTTTCAGGTTATGCAAAGTATATGATCAAATTTCCATTCAGGCTATCCAAAAAAAAAAACAATGAGTTGAATGAATAAAACATAAAACCAATTGAGGAGGTTAATATTTACCTTGTGTCATCAATTTTTAGATCTTTGGTTATCAAAATGATACCTGAACTCAAGCTCAATAGGTTTTACAATAGGTTTGATTGCAATTAGGATATGGTAATGGAAGCTAAATTTTTATACAATTGGATTGTTTTAAATGATAAATCAATCATCTATTGAAGAATTTTTGATCTATGCACATACAAATCAAAAGAAAATGAATGTGAGTAATTGAGTAAATTTGAGAAAAACAGAGGAAAATGAACAACTTGGTTCGGAGTTGACAAATTTGAAATTCAAATGGATTCTGGATTAGTTGGATTTTTGGAATGATTCATTTGTAATGGCAATTGAAGCTCTTATCCAATGTTTATAATCAGATTACTTGAAGGAGAGAAATTTTTTTAATCAAAAATCAAAATATATATACTTGATATCAGTTTTGAAATGAAAAGAGTTTAGGAAGAGTTTTTGTTGGTAAGTACCTGGAGACGATCTGGATAAGGATTTGAATTGAAGTAATTATGATTCCATGAAGTAGTTCTGATGTATTCAAGTTGGATTTACTCTTGAATTCAATTCATTTGAAAACTCTATATTGTTTAATAAAAACCAAATCACTTGTGACATTTTGAATCTTTTCACAATCTTCTTTTTTGGATTCCTTGGAATTTTTCCTGCTCAGGTTTACACATCTGATAAGCATTTCTACCTGATTTTTGAATGTTGGAGTTGTTTTGACCAATGCATTCGGGTTGTTGATGTGTTTCCTATTGTGTTTGACGTAGGGTTTTTAAGGTGATCTATGAGATCATACTCTGACTTTAGGTAAGATAGATGGTTTTGCTATTTTTTGTTTTTAGGTTTGAAGAGAAACCCAAGAAAAATCGAGATTATAGATCCTTGAGGGGAATGGTATATTTCAGGTTTTTTTGAATGACTAACATTGTGCTGGGAGACGATGTAATTGAACATTTTCAGAGGAATGTGATAATCGATCATAGTTTACTCAAAATCAAAACCAAAAAGCACAACATCAATTACAACAATGATAGCTCTTGATGGTGTTGTTAAATAATCACCTGGACCACATTCCCCTATAGATACTTCCTGTTTTGATGTTTCTAACTTTTGATCAGACTGAATCAATTCTTCAAGTTGATCATGAATTGAATTGTGATCGGTTCTAGCGAAGGGAGAGATGTTTAACGGAAGCATTTCGATTTGAAGATCTCAGAGATGGACGCGAGTGCAGACATGGGCTAATTGACAGGGAGCAG